GTGTAGGTTCATGACTTCTCTACAAAGATGTGTCGCTTTTTGCACTGAGGTGACAATCAGCCAACTAGATATGCCATTTGTGGCGCGTAATGCCGACCACAATTTATTCGACAGTCAGAGACCCTTCCCTTTCCCACCCATGGGGTTCCTTATATCTACTAGGCTAATTACTACGTTAACGTCTGGCCTCAGGTCATTGTTGCTGTTGATTGGAGAGTTGGCAAATGGCCATCAAAGTCAACCAATGCCTCGGTGCTGTAATGGTGTGTTCAAAAGGAAACAGCGTTCCGTTAGCCGCTAACATTCTTTGGAAGAGCATCGCTCTTTTCTCTATTTCTGATGTCTGAAAATACGGTATTCACAAAGGACGACCTAGAATCTCATTGTCTTTGTCGTTATTTGGGTAGTAGACACAGAATGAGCAGGAAAGGGGTTTAACGAGAAGGGCGCCTAGTTTTCTGTGACCAAAAAATTAACGAGAGGGAGAGAATGAGCCCTTGACGCGCGCTTATGAATGCATAAAAGGCACAACTACTTGGCCACTCAGTAGTCGGGCACTAACCACTTTCCTCCCCACCGACGGATGCGGTCAAGGTCTAGGAACCTTCGCTCCAGAAAACGTCCTTCTAGGGGGTAGTAGGCTCAGTACGGTCTGTAATTGGATGTGCCTAGCCTTGTACGGAGGAGTGCAAAATGGGTATTTTGGAGCTCTCTCAGACGAACGTGTGTCACGCATTATTGTGAGATACCTGGCACTATACATAGCCTTCATATATTACGAGAAGGCGTTTGATTCAGTAGAAATATCAGCATTCATGCAGACACTGCGGAATCAGGGCGTTGACGAAGCATATATAAACATCCTGGAAGAAATCTACATGGGGTCAACTGCTACCATAGTCCTTCATAAAGAAAGCAATAGAATACCAATCAAGAAAAGTGTAAGGCAGGGGGATACAATCTCGCCAAAGCTATTTACAGCGTGCTTACAGGAGGTTTTCAGAAGTCTAGAGGGGGAAAAGTTAGGGATAAGAATTAATTGACAGTACCTTGATTATCTGCGTTTCGCCGATGACATTGCATTGATGAATAACTTACGGGACAAATAGCAACTCAGACATGGAGAGCAGAAAGGTAAGTCTTAAAATTAATCTGCAGAAAACGAAAGTAATGTACAACCTTGGAAGAAAAATGTTCTTCGAAATATAGGTAATAGTGCTCTCGAACTTCTAAAAGACTATGTCTACTTAGGACAGATAATAACCGTGGAGCCTAACCACGAGATTAAAGTAACTACAAGAATAAGAATGGGGTGGAGTACATTTGGCAAGCACTCTCAAATCTCGACAGGTAGATTGCCACTACCACTCAAAAGGAAGGTATATAACAGCTGCATCTTGCTGGTACTTCGCTACGGAGCAGAAACCTGGACACTTATGAAAGGGCTTCAGCTTAAATTGAGAACGATGCAGCGACCAATAAAAATAAAAATGGTAGGTGTAACCTTAAGAGACAAGAAGAGAGCAGTGTGGATCAGGGAACAAAACGTGGTTAAGGATGTCATTGTTGAAATAAAGAAAAGGAAATGAACATGGGCTGGGTATGTAGCGCGTACACGGGATAACCGCTAGTCATTAAGGGTAACTAACTGGTATTCCAGAGAAGGCAAGTGAGTTAGAGGGAGACAGAAAGTTAGATGGGCAGATGAGACAAAGAAGTTTATGGGTATAAAATGGCAGCAGCAAGCACAGGACCAAGTTGACTGGCGAGACATGGGAGAGGCTTTTGTTCTGCAGTGGACGTAGTCAGGATGTTGATGGTAATGATGATTATAATGATGATTACCTGCCACATTTGCATAGCCAGGGGGTTGGGGTATGTTGGTTGATGGATTCAAGCCCTAGCCCCGAAGTTGTTAAATATTTTGCTTGTGTAGTTATGCATGTATATATACAAACACACTGACAAACATAGATATGGGGCGGTTAACCTACGACCACAAAAAGAATTATCGCTAAGCCCCTGAGCTATGAAGTGGGCAAGAATATGCGTAATTGCCACATCAAACCGCAGCTAGAATACAAGCGTTTTATTCCGTCTGGAGTGCCTGGGACACTTGGGCGCGGGAAGGATAATACATCACGTGCTTAGACAGCAACTATAAATATCAGCTTGGTGAGCTAAAAGAAGCGTCTTATTGTGCGAGCAAGAAACGAAGTTACTTTGCTCTCCATCCATCCTTGTCCACGCAGTAGCAAATTATACAACACTAATTATCTTCTACGCAGTGCTGGATTCGACGGGCAAGTACCCCACAGGTGCCCTCCAAGTTTCACGAACGGACCTGGGTGCCTTCGACGAGTGTGTCGAAACCGTGGTGTTGAACAACTACGGGCATGAGACGGTACGCGGACAGTACTGCAACCTGCAACTTTACGCAGGAAACAGGAGCGACATGGACGACCGAATCATGGCAGCTGTGGCTCTTAGGCACCCTAGGGTAACGTGATGTTTGAGTACTTTTTTGTTTTCTCTTACACCTTACCGTTGCGGCAAGGTTATCATCACTTATTCGTCTACGTGCTGTATACATGTTACCTTTTTTTTGGATAACTTTGCAGGGCCGTGAAATTAACTGGTGCAGAATAAAGTAAAATCTACGCCGGTAAAACGTAAAATAAAGTAAAATCTGCGCTGAGCTTTCAGGCCTTTCGTCTATGAGCACGTTTGTTTGTGTCTTCTCTCTATGAATTAGCGTTGCACTTTTCATCTGCCCGTTTACTGATACCTATATATTGATTCATTGAGTTCCTCACCACGAAACAAACTGACAACTCTTGACTGATCCTCTAACAAAGAATGCTCTAGGATAGTGATGAAAGGAAGGAGGAAACAAATTGAAAAGGCAGCAAGGTTGACCGGAAAAATTTCCGGTTAGCTTTCCCACATTGGAGATTGGGGAAGAGGAATAGAAGTATAAAACAGAGAGAGAAGAAAGAACAAAAAAAAAACAGAAAAAGAAGAGAGGCAGCGAATTCACAGAATAGTGCGCGACTGCTCCACATGTTTGATGCATTCGCATAAGCTAATAGGTTCCTCACAACATACATGCACTTACATGCACTGAATAAAAAATCACATATTCAGAGAGAGAGGAGGCCTTTTCTGTAAGGCCAGCTTTTTTTATTGGTAAATAAAATCAAATTAAGCGATATTCAGGATGACGCGAAAAATGCCTTCATGTTCGCTTTGATTCAGCAATTTTGAGAAACGGCATTAACTTGGGGGCGTGCACATGAAGGCTCACAAATATACCCCTTTTGTGAAACCTCAATAGCCAGTACGGGAAGATCTTTTGTTTAAAATAGGCCCGCCGTGGTGGTCTAGTGGCTAAGGTACTCGGCTGCTGACCCGCAGGTCACGAGATTGAATCCCGGCTACGGCGGCTGTATTTCCGATGGAGGCAGAAACGTTGTAGGCCCGTGTGCTCAGATTTGTGTGCACGTCAAGGAATCCCAGGTGGTCTCAATTTCGGAGCCCTCTACTATGGCGTCTCTCCTAATCATATGGTGGTTTTGGGACGTTAAATCCCACATATCAATCAATCATTGTTTAAAACAAAAGCAGCTTCGTCAATCCTGAAGTTCATTTTAGGTGGTTACAACTTTAGAACTAATACAGTCTTTGCCGCTCGAACAGTGGTGCGCCTGCCATTCAGCTTTGCACAGTCATGATAATGATTCACATTTAAACAGTAACTACCTTGTCGCTGCTAATGTGACTACTACATGTATTAAGAGCTAAAACTTCGTGGTCCGTGCTTAAAATATGAAGTTTTTCTGACCATTGCCTGAAATGGAGCAGAAACTTCAAGTTTTCGAAAAAAAGAGCCAGCAGCACCAACCTGTGTTTACATTGCCAAACCAGTTGCCTGTTTCATGTGAAAGGTCCTTGACGTCACGGAAATGAGCAAATATCACTGGATGGGGAATTTTGGATTATTTCTCCTGCTATGATAGGTACAGCTGTGGGCGGAGCTTAGATTTATTCTTACGTTGTAACAAGCTATAGGTGCGTCCGAGCCAACACGTGTACCACTCAGGTATAATGTCCAACGTTCTGAAGGCGTTCAGTTCATTCGACAGCAGCGAATCTACATTAATACTGTAGGCCACATCTACGTTTGGAGAAAACCACTTAAAGGCGTGAAAAATCACTACCCCTTATGCGTGGGTAGTATTTGACAAAATAATCAGTCTTTGTCCAAATATTTAGGCTTATGTGGTATAACTCGATTCTGCCATTCTGCAACTGAAAAAAAAAAAACCTCGCCTGAATGAGTTCTCATCGAAAGCACTACTTTCAAAAGTTGTACTCGAAATAGGTTCACTTTCATTTGACGTGTTTACGTTTTTTTTTATCATCAGAGTGACCTATTTTATGTTCTACGCAGATAACCATTGCACGAACGCAAAGAAAATTATGTTATCACCTGAAATGGCTTACCATCGCTCTGCCCTGCCCATTTCACTATCTTTCCCGGCGTTTCTAACATACGATCGCGCCTTTTACGAGAAGCGAATAACATTGTAGGCTTTCAATATCTCACTTTGCACTGATGTTCCGTCACATGTGATAATGGTGACAATGAAACATTTATTTTGGTCCAGAGAAGACGCAGGTAAGACCAGCGCGATTGCATCGCCATATTGAGAAAAGAATTCTACCTTGGGTAACACACCGCAAGTTTGTGATGCCACTTCTAAGGAAGGCTGTGGTAATATATATACGAGCTAGCCTATGGCAAAACGCGTCAAAGCACACCGTGACATGAGAAATGATAGCACCAACAAGTTGCTGGAGAGAAATAGGCACCGTCTTATTGATGCCGGCACGCACTTGCTATCGTTTTGAAATTGTGTTCCTTCAGGGATCATGCAGCAGCGTATACGTCACTTTTGTGCGTAAACGCTCGAGACGACAAACTTGTTTTGTTGAACGAAAACCAGCCTGCCCTAAACTTTAGATTCATATGAACGATACTCTATTGACGTGTATATGCACAATACTGTTAACACGTGGAATAGGCATATAGATTGGACCATCTTTTCGATCGCTTAGTAACACTTCTGTTCAGAGAAGGAAGCAGTGGGATCCGTGCAGAGGAAGGGGGCTACAAGGCCTTTCTGGGTGTATCTATGCACGTACAGGATTCATCAAAAATTCCATGCAACGCTGCCGTAAAAGTATACGGGATAGTGGCTTGGAAAGTTTTGACGGACCCTTTACTACTCACTCAAGCGTACGTGCGTGTGTCTATACACCGTGGCGTCTTCAACTGTTAAAAATTGGGTTAGTTGGCTCACTGTACTTAAAATGGTACAGCACACAACAAAAAAAAAAAGAAACGTCTGAGCTAGCCAGTACAGTGCTCCATCCTCTTAAGGTGAACGGCTCAGCCAAGTATTTTTTCGCATCATGCACAGCACCAATACATGTACTTATGTGGCATGCATATGTGTGTGCATCTCTATATTGATGTTTGCCGCATTCGGGTACGCCGGTGATAACCTGTCGCATTAAAGGTACACTAAATATCAAAAAGGTTTTTCGCGTATCAGCATGTACAATTTCACAATCTCGGCAACACCACTCTTACCCCGACACGACGGTTGATAAGTGAGAAAGCGCGCGAAAAGAAAATGCGAGTAGAAGCGCCACTTTGAGATTGCCGCGCTTACACCATCACGTTAGACGTTTTCAAGACATTTACTGGGTCCAGCTCTGCTTCTAATCAACAAAGCTTAAATTCAGTCATCAGTGCTTGCATAGACGTAGCATATGAAGATTAAAAAAATATAGTCGAGCCAGTGTCGCGAAAACAGCAAAAATGCATTTTGAAATTTTTGGCTTCACGCGGGAAGAATACGGTGGGCAATTTAATAATAAAACCTCGACCTTTATTTTCTCCGCTAGTAATAAACTTATGCTACTGATAGTCAAACATATGGCACTGGAGTTCTGCGAGTGCAGTTTGTCAATATGAACCAAGACATTGTTTCTTTTTAGAGTCCCTTTGAAAGGATTCCTCAATCTCTAGAACAGCCACTGCAGGCAGCGTTTGCCCTTCAAAAATCAGATTAGAAATCAGTAGAATAATAGCCTTTTCGTTCATCTACTCAGGGGAAGTAGGTTTTACCTCTTTTTTTTTTCTATCTCTCCGCGATGCCCTGTAGCCATAATGAAAATGATTGCGAGCATTTACACGAAAGAAATCTCCAAAAGTCGTAGAGTAGGAACTAGCTGGGCATATAGAAGTAAGCAGACAAGGGAGCGAGTGGGCCTCCTTTCAAATATTTCCGGACGTCTGTAGCCACAGATCATCCATTGGTAATACACACTCTATCGCCGTTCATATACCAGTCATTTCAGCGATAATCTGTTTAACGAAACTTTTTAAATGCGAGGCATTTTTTGTACTGCCGACTCTATGAGTCTCTCCATCCGTCCGTCCGTCCGTCCATCCATCCGTCCATCCCTCCGTCCATCCGTCCATCCATCCATTCATACGTCCATCCGTCCATCCGTCCATCCATCCATCCGTCTATCCGTCCATCCGTCCATCCATCCATCCGTCCATCCGTCCATCCATTCATCCGTCCATCCATTCATCCATCCATTCGTCCATCCATCCATCTCCCTGCGCGTAGGTGCTCCCATAATCACCTGTGTGTATTATTTCCTCTTTATCACACCCCAATTTTAAGGTAGCCAACGAAGCCAAAGCGTAGTTAACCTCCTTGCCTTTTCTCTTCATATCTATATTTCTCTCCTTAATATGGGGTAGACCGAAATTTGTACGGGGGGGGGGGGGGGGGCAAGAGGATTTGACCTATATGGCGGTCTGGTAATGACAAGAATAATGTGAAAATGCCATCGCGTACAACGTCGAACCCTCTCCTGCAGTCGCTTGTGGCACATACCCGTATAATACAGGCCACGGTTTGCCGGTATGCGCTGCAGGTGTTCGGCAGTTTATGTTTACCGAGGAAAGGGGAAAACAAAAATTGCTAAGGTAAATGCGAGAACATTAGCGAAAAAAAAGCTCCCGCATCTTACTACGGGAGAAATTAGAGCAAATTCATCGCAGTGTTTGTGTGTGGGGGGGAGGGGGGCGTATTGCGTAAATATTGCGAAATTAGGTATGGTTTGGGAATGTTTAATTGTTATTTGCCTTTATTATTCTTATTTATTGAATGAAGAAGAAGTGTTGTCTTCAATTAGTGGCTAGTTGTGGGACACTGATGTTTGGTTGTGCCCCACAACTGGTTAAAAGTACTGTTGTCTCCATCGCAACTACTCGAGTCAAGCAAAGCGTCAAGTGAAGCGAAATCCAAACAAAGACGCCCTTGATGAAACTCCGAACGCGCAATTCAGTGCCTACATATACAGGGTGGCCAGTGAACAGTTGTGCAGCGCGAGTAGTTGGTTTTTTACTAG